TCTAATACTTGAGATAATTGTTTTGGAAGATATTTTTGAAAGATTGGATGTCGCTGAAATTGTTCATTGTTTTCAATTGATGATGAATCTTGTGTAGCTTGGGATTTATAACGATTCGTTATTTTGGTTTCTCCAGTAAAAATTCTATTTACAGGTGCTTCAGTTTCGGTCGCAACCATGACTTTATATTCGACTAATAGACAAGTATCGTTGGAGTTATTTGTGCTTCACTCACCGTAAGACATTCCTTTATATATAATGGTCGGACCTCAGGGATGCTCGTGAAGTCGTAAATATCGTTACCTTCGATTTTCTTTCATAAGTAGGCGAGACAAACTAAAAAGTCCATAAAATAGACGAATGTACACCTCTGCGAAAATAACTAAACGAAAGAAAAAACACAAGATTACTGATGTAATCAATATAGTCATTATGTGCACAGTAGGGTGTGCATCGAGCACGAAGAACAGACGAAAGGAGCAGTTTAATGCATACATAGACAGATGATATGATCTATATTTACCGAAAAATCAACCATGGCAGTCATTGATTAGATATTTTTTGTTTTCATCTAGGTTTTCTTCAAGTACTCCTTAAAAAAGAAACAGGATTTGCATAGTTCTGTAAGATATAAATGTTTTCCTAGTGAATTCTCTGTAAGATGCATCAAAATCAATATAATTTCTGTAAGTGTGCCATCTGGAGCTATATACATATGTTTTCATTATTGACTGCATTTTATTGACATTTTGAAATCGTGATGTTTTTAAGATTCAACATTAAAGGATAAACTTTCAATGTATTTTTTTCGTTTACGTATGGTGAAAATCATTCGATTGATTTATTTATATTAAGTGTTTTTGAGTCAGATAAACATGTATAAATGAGAAATCATTGTTAAAGATCCTTCCTCTATGAATTTTAGTATATTCGGATATGATAAGGATTCGATTGTGTTTTTTGGTTACTACGTATAACCATCGTCAAATTAAAGAGTTTAATCTTGACCATCGATCACACTTTGCCGTTCTCTGAAAATTATGGGAAAAGCTGATCAGAGAAATGATAATTCATTATTATTTATTAAAAAATATTTTATCATTTATTTTAGTTTTGGAGAAAAATATTATAGATAATGATCTATTGAAAACTAAAGTTCAGCACAGAAACCTTGACTACTCATACTATGTTTGGTTTCACATATTGAAATATAGAATAGAGAAAATGGAAGCCATTATCGATTGTAGTCTAAACGATGACTACGTTATTTTAGTATCCCATATGATAAATGGTCACTTTTTTTTAGTCGTTTGATTGCCATCTTGTATGACATGACTTTATAGTGACACTGTATTATACTGTCTTGAATGAATGGACATCTATGGTGCATTCAAACAGACCTAATGAACTAGCAAAAAGTCAACCATAGTGGAATCATTCTGCTTTCTTTCACTCGTTCTGATGAAAAAAAAACAATTTGATCTATGCGAATATGCTTCAGCATATGAAAAGAGTCATCTGTAAAAAGACGAAACATGATAGATGCAGCAAAAAAATATTCATGATACATTTATTACTAATTAATAGTGTCTTCATAGTGTGTTAAAAGCAAAATAATGTCAAAAAACATCCATATTTTTTTTTCATTTACATCAACACGCAATTACTGTGAGAAATCAATTATTTTTGACTTAAACATAATTATAAGTTTATTAGATGGTGTCTGCTTGTACAGATTTTTCAAAAGAAAAATTTCATGAATATTGTTTACTATATAAAACTAAACTTCTGTTTGCTCTTCGAAGTCGATTATAATTCTGATAAAGATTTTAAAAAAATAGATATTCGAATAGAGAAGTAGGGTGAAACACGCATAATATTCGTAACATGACAAGACAAAATATATGGACATGATATTATTCATCTCACGACTAACGATCAAAAATCATTGGTTAAAAAGCTGTTCTTCTGATCTCAAACTAATTATATCTAAGTATATATGATTTTTTTTTGAATTCTCAAAAAAAAAAAATCTTTGATGCTAATCAAGAGCAGGTTTCATCAAATTTGTGAACGCACTAGGGTGTGGGTGTGAGTGTGGATGTAGGTGTGTGGGTGTGGGTGTATGGGTGTGGGTGTGAGTATGGATGTGGGTGTGTGGGTGTGGGTGTCGGTGTGTGGGTGGGTGTGGGTGGGTGTGGGTGTAGGTCATGTTTATAATTTATTCCAGACTCACATCCACGCCCATGTCCACCAACATCCACAATCACACTCACACACCCACACACCCACGCCCCAAACCCCACACCCACCCACACTCACCCACACCCCAAACCCCACACCCACCCACACCCACACCCTGATTAAGGTAAACATTCTATGTTGGTAAAAAAAAGAAACATTAAGAAGAACTATAAATACAGAGCAATATCGTCTGTAGTCTCATATTACAAACTAAACACTTCGATACCGATTGGTAAGTAGTCTTATTCCGTTGTCGATATTTTTAGGTTAGCGATATATTTTTTCAAACACATCAGTATATATACTAATGATAGTAAAACGCACAAAATATAAATATCAATTCGTGTATTTAACGCAAAGATATTGACAAACAAATCGTATAGAAATCTGAAATTAGTATAGAAAATCGAAATTTACATAATCAGATTAATATCATTTACGGTAAATGAAGACCTCCAGAGGAACAGATTTGATTTATATACGGACCATTAGGTGTTTAGAATATTTCGTTCGATTAAAAATCTACTACATATAACAAGTAATGTTCATCGTCTACCAAGACACTCATCCCTAAACTGAATAGCTATCCAATCTCTGTCCAGATGAATACTGAATACCTGCTCATTGCAAGTGAAACTTAAGATTCAAAACACGATAGGGTATCGTTTTAAGACTTGCCTGATTTCATTCGTAACTACTCGATCGGCCATATCTCTCTTATAGTCTTCTGCCTCAAATCATTGACTCTGAATTTTGACCATTGTCTCTGGTCGGTATATTCTAAAAAAATTGGTATCTTGGGAAACGCTAGAAGGGCTTGCGAGCAGTGTTTCCAACGGAACGATGACTCAGAGTGTACAAACACAGGATTTTCTTTGTTTCGCAAAGTGTACAAAGTGTACAGGCAAATGATGTACACCTGCTATTGGAAACACTGCTTGCAAGATTATTACTATAGGAAATCCTTTAAGAACTTCCGATTCTTCTCTAAATCCGAGTTCCGTGACCTAGAAAACTCTTCGGAAACCCTCAAACAGTTCCCGAGCAATCTGAAAAATGCGTTTTATTCACGAATAAAATTTATTAAGAATCCGTTCGGAATGTTTGATAGATTTCTAAGTAATCCAAAACTTGAGGGTGAGGGTGTAGGGTAGATGAGGGTATGGATGTAGGTGTGGTAGCTCTTCATGTTTGCTCACTCACACCCACGCCCACCCACCTCCATTTCAACCAACTCTTTATCCTCTACTACATGTTTGTCAATCGAGATCATTAAGTTTATGTATTTGATGCTTGGAATCATCGGGTGATAAAATCGGAAGAAGATGCAACACAAGACATTGTCGTAGCTCGTGATAACTAAAAAGGAGATAGCCTTACAAAATTGAATAGATCTCAAGAAGGGTGTGGGTGTGGGTGTGGGTGTGGATGATGTTAAAGAAATCTTCACACCCACACCCACACCCTTCGATATTTTATGGCGTTTTATTGCATCTATATTTGTAGATGCAATCACATGTTGCCTGTTTGTCGTTGTTTTGCAGTCCAAAGCTCAAATGTTTGTAAAATGTTCTAAGATTCTGCAGTAGGGTGGAATACTAGCTCAATTTTTTCCGAAAATTTCTAGAAATTCAGGAATATTGTACGGAGTTGCTGAATATTTCGTAATGGCCTAGTTCTGAACACTACAGAATGTTCAGAAACTCTTTAGAATGGTTCTGAATTTCCAAAAATTTTGGGAAAAAATTGAGCTACTATTGCACCCTACTGCAGAATCTTAGAACATTTTACAAACATTTGAGCTTTGGACTGCAAAACATCGACAGACAGACAACGTGTGATTGCATCTACAAATATAGATGTAAAAAAAAACCATAAAATATCGAATTTTGCTAGACAAAAAAAATGACTTTTTCAAAATTTTTGTCCCTTAGTGGTCAGATGTATCCAAATGGATACATGAAATCATTAGATGTCGACGCACTTATTGATTCTAAGAAATAAACTTTTCCTATCTCCATGATCTAGGAGCAGCGAAAATCCATCAAAACACTTTCTTGCTACTTGTCTTCTAGTTGCCGGTTGGAAAGAGTTAAACAAGTGCCTGCAATAAAATTTTGGATATTAAAACCATTTTCAATTAATTAGAGCAATTTACAAAAGCGCATTGATTTGTTTAGAGATTGTCATTTTTATTTTAATATTTTCTTAATTAAGAGACGCCGTTTTAAAAAGAAAAAAAAACGATTATCGAAGTGCTTTCTTGTATGAATAGAACAGATGCTTTTCTTGGAAGAATAATAATTCATATGTAGTTTAGATGCTCAAAAAAAGTTTGTTCATCGTAAGTACTTATGTGAGAATCTTCTCTTCTGCTCTTATTCGATTGTTATCGACGACACTGAAATGAGACATCTAGCAGACAACATTTAAAGATTTTTCTCAATTTTCAATCCACTCGCAACTCATCGAGAAGAGTTCTTTGATGGCCATCAGCATTCTAGATTGAGTGTTCGGACTGCCACTTTCTGATAACTCGAGGACTCGATGAAAGATGGAATTTTTTTTTCTATAGTCCCCTCCCCGAGATTCACAATAATTGTAATGGTGTGCTATCCTTAAGTATATCTAATGATTTCTAGATGTTTACTTCTTTTTTTTGAAGTAAGCAAGGTCTCCGAAGGTATTTGGAGGTCTTCAGATACATCTCATAGTATATACATATCGAAATGCACCAAACAATACGAGCAAAATGATAAACTATTGAAAGGTCGACCGTTGTTTGAAAATACGCAGTATATACAGTGTTGTGAAAAATTTTGTATGTAGATTGAAACAAAATACACCCTTATATGATATTCAATATATTTAGTTGATGAAGAACTCGAAAAGGAAAGAAGCCATATCGTTAGTTATTAGAAGGTATTATTTCATCCTTATATGAAGTATTACTTGCATAGCGCAAAAAAGCTTTCCTTAAAATATCAATGTCTTATAATCAAAATAAATGATAAAAAAAATGTCCGTAGTTTATAGTGCCTGATTAGTTTTTTCATCTGTTGTTGCTGATTCAGTTGTATTCAATGGTGAATAAACAAATTTATATTGAAAATGAATTTTAGGTCTTGGTTTTTGCGGTAAATACTTCTTTAATTTAGCAATAAACTTAAAATAAATACCAAATGATAATGGATGTTCTTTTGGATTATTAATTAATCCATACATAATGTCCGGTTTTGTTTCACATGACTGATGAAACTCTATCAATGCTTCACCATCCATCGATTCACAAATAGATAATAATTGATCAAGTTGATGATAATTTAGAAATTCCTGAACATGTTGTTCATTCCACATTGATGCCAAAGGAATGTTTAAATATTCTCTTGTTTGAACGCAAGGTTGCTCAGGTTCTTTCTTTGGTTCTTCAGATTTAGATCTTATTTGAGATACGGTTCGGTCAGTCAGTGTATTGTCTTTATTTCCATTGGTATCGTTCAATCCATTTCGTTTAAGTTCTTCTATTAATGAGACAAATGCTTTATCAAGTTCTTCTCCTTCTTTATCAGCAAAATCAACATAAATTTTTGAACCAG